TCCTACCCAGGATACTGATGACTTAGGAGACCTTCCATTCTCATTATAAATTTAATAAATGTAAATACTTGAAAACAAACAAACAAAAAAAGTAAACTGTAAGATCATGAGGAAAATTTATCATAGTCTAGTTCTGTTCTGCTTTCAGTTCTGTATTTTCAGGTCTCTCCCAGCCCCCATACCTTTCTCACCAGTTTTATATAATTCCTCCTTAAAGCAGAATTGTGCCTGTGGGTGTCTTGATGTAGTGCTAGAATTCACTGCAGAATTGTATAACATTTAGGAAAATTTCCTGTTCCTCAGATCCATAGAACTTCAAATTATTTTGTCTCCAGTAGAATTATTGTCTCTAGTAGAAAGAGTGCTACTGTTCATTAAAAACTTATTAACAGGTCAGTAAACCCTTTGCATAATTATTTCCTTAGTTTTCATATTAATTTAGTAAGGTAAGTATAAAAATATTTTAAACCCATTTAACACATGAGAAAACAGAAAAACAGAAAGATCGCATGGCCTAACACCCAAGTGACCTACCCAGAGTACAAATCTAGGTTGTTAACTACTGCTCTGCATTACTGTTACTGTCCATACTTCACCTTTTAGTTTTTAGCTTTTCGCCATTCCACTTAATACCTTTTGCTCTCACTATGTGATGTGTCTGTCTTTGTAGCTGTACAAAGACACTGAAGTCATTCATAGAAGACCTAGAGCAAACTCTTTGTTTCAGTGGTTTCCTCTGCCCATATGATGCAAAGGAAGATCCTTCTTAGTCTGGCCTCCAATTTATATGACTTTCTCCTAGTGAGTTGACATATTAAGTGCTTCAGCCAGTCTGGACCACCTAACCATTCCTGAATATACCTCCTGGTTTTCTGTCTCTGAACATATGTTCGGGGAGTTAACCTCCTATGAAACCTCCTCCCTCCCCCTTCACATGCTCTCATCTCTACTGAAATCAGAAATATGCTTGATATACATTTAATAGTTGGCTAGATGGCCAAGTATTAAAAGCCATCAAAGTGGGACCAGCAGTTAGCGTAATGGCTATGTCGCTGGACTCCCACGTAGTCGACCGCGGCTCGCGTCCTGGACCCAGTGGCTTACACTCACACCGGGTGCGTGTGCATGCGTGCTCAAGATCCTGAGAGGAGAATGGAGGAGAAGAGATTGCGGCGTGGCCATCCCCCCTGGGGGGTGATTTCTCCTCGCTTTCTTTCTCTCTGTCTGTCTGGTGAGCACATGTGCCCTATAACAACAACAACAAAAAAGTCATCAAAGCCAAAATTAAATGTCACCATTATAGCATGAATTTCTGAGATACAAAGATAAATTTAAAATTTATTCCAAAACACTGTCAAAATTTGATACAATACCACATTGTCAGCTACTAGGTTGTTTCTGCAGTCCCTCTTATTGCCTATTCACAGTATTAAATGGTTGTTTTCAGATGATGTTGGTGGGGAAATACTCTAAAATATGTTTCCCTTCATATTCGCTATTCTTCACGTCTAGATCAAAAGTGTCTTATTGATGGGTGTTAGGGTTTTTCCTTATGCGTGAACTTCTTAGCTGACAAGGTTGATTTTCTACTTTTATTTAACTGTCTAATGCTAGTACACCAGAACTTCAGAAAGATTATAGAGTTATCTAATCTTGGGGCCAGCAGGTAGTGTGGTAGTTAAGGTGCTGGACTCACACATGGCCTACCACAGTTCAAGTTCCAGATTTAGTGACTTGCTTTCTCTCTCTGTCTCTCTCCAGTGAGTGTACATACCCTGTAACAAATTTTAAAAAGAAAAAAATAATGATAAAAATAATTACTGATTATTTTTAAAGTGTTTTTTAAAAAAGAATCGCCTAACCTTGTATTAATTAAAATTTTGCAAACACTCGCTGGCTTTAAAAGGGCATAATAATCTTACTAAAGTTATCTAATATACTCTGTCAACCTGTTTCTCTATTCATTCTGCTTTTATAAATTTTTATTTTTATGGCACCAGCAGATGGCGTAATGATTATGTCACTATACTGCCACATAGTCGACCATAGTTCGAGTCCCATGCTGGGTGTATGTACGTGTGTACCCAAAATCCCAAGAGAAGAATGGAGGAGAAGGGATTGTGGTGTGGCCATCCCCCCAGAGGGGTGATTTCTTGCTTTTTGTCTCTCTGTCTCTGTTTCTCTGATAAGTACACAAACTCTATAGCAAAAATCTCTCTCTAGAAGAAAATAAATAAATATTTTTGCTGGAGCCAGCAGATCACATGGTGGTTAGGTGCTGGACACTCCCACATGACTGACCACAGTTTAAGTCCTGGACTGGTGGCTTGCTTTCTTTCTCTCTGTCTCTCTGTTTCTCTGTGTCTATCTCTGGTCAAATATAAAATAAATAAAAGAATAAAGTTAAATAAATTTTTTTTGAAGAGGTTTTTGCTATAGGGCACATGTGCTCGCCAGACCCAGAGAGACAGAGAGACAGAAAGTGAGTGCACATCCCCCTCTCCCAGGGGTGGGGGGGATCGCCATGCCGCAATTCCTTATCCTCCATTCTCCCTTCAGGATCTTGGGCATGCACGCACACACACCCAGCGTGAGTTTAAGCCACTGGGTCTGGAACTTTGAACCCAAGTCAACTACATGGGAATCCAGCAACATAGCCATTACGCCAACTGCTGGTCCCATAATTCTTTTTAAAAATTATTTTTGCTAAAAAAATTAACATTTTTCACAGTCATTATTAATATATCAATTCCCTTCTTTTTTTTATTTCTTTAAAGTTTTTGCCATAGGGTGTGTGTGTACTCACTGTAAAGACAGAGAGAGACAGTTATAGGGAAAGTGAAAAATCACCCCTCGGGGGATGGTTATGCCACAGTCCCTTCTCTTCCATTCCCTCAGGACTTTGGGCAGTGCATGCACACATGCCTGGTGTGATTTTCAAGCTACCAGCTCCAGGACTCAGAACTGTGGTTGCCTATGGGAGTCCAGTGCCCTAACTATCACAGCACCTGGTGGCCCCTATAGCATTAACTTTTATACCTAGAATGTTTATATTTGAAATAGAGTAATCACATATTAGTCCAAATGGACCCCCTTCAAAACAATATTATATTGATTTGATTTGTTAATTTATACAACTACATTATCTTTGATCATGTGGAATTTTTGCCATACCAAAAAAGATGTTAAGGTAAGCATCCTGCAGTTCAAAGTCTAATAGTTGATTTGAGTTGAATATTTAGGTAAAGCCTAACTTTAATACATCTCTGAGATGCTACTAAACTATAGAACCAAGACAATTAAAGTTTTTCCCAATTTTCCCTATTCCTACCCTATGGGGCTCTTGTCTGACAGGTCAAAATGTTACACTTTGCTCCTTTTGTATACTTCTCAGTTACTTAGAGTTATATTGTTATATACTGTCTCTATTACTTATAGTTGTAAGCTCTCATCTCTGGCCTCCCATTCATTCTACTTCTTCTCAGTTTAAATATGGAACACTTAAACTCTGAGCACTTCGTACACAGTCTTTCAGTCAAGTGAATGAAACTTTTATTTTTTTCTTAGAGTGAAAGACAGAGAAGGACAAACACTCAACCCTGTTACGAATCTCCTACTGTGATCCCCCTCCCCACCCTACTCCTAGCCTCCCCAGCCAACCAGGATCATAGTGTAGACCCACCATCACTTAAGCAGCACATTACTGCTGTGCTTCTGAGCTGGTCCGACCAAGTGAAATTTTAAAACTGCCTTTAATCAGACCCAGGTGGAACCTCCTAAAAACTTCCCCAGCCTTCTCAGGAGGGCCCCTTCTATCTATATTCTCATATCGTTTTGTACTTTGATTTGTAGTACTCATCACACTGACATAAGGAATTGTTTGAGTCTTTGTCAGATTGTGAGTTTCTTGAACTAAAACAATTCTTTTTTCGTTTCTGTGTCTGAGACAGTTCCTCAACGAAGCAGGTTAGTTTTTATAGGAGATATATCAGATTTCCATTTAGTTCATAGAAATTCTACGTTGCATGCCTACCTAAAAGAGAAATAACTGAAATAATTAAGTAGTTTCATTTGTCACCCTACCCAGTTCAGTACATGCCTGAGATTTATACACAATGTAGGAGGTGTGAATCTGTTCTTTCAAACAGTAAATGTTCCCCTATGTCGATGACCGTGAACATCTCACCAGGTTCAAGTGTGTTTCTCCTCTTGAAGTTATCTTTCATAACATTATACCTCGAGTATTAGCCATCCACTTCCTCCAATATCTGTTCTAATGACGGAGAAAAAAGCCAGCTATGTTAGGCTCCAGGGCTAATTATCAAGGGTAATTTGGCTTAGACTTGTTTTCGCTGTATATTATTCTGACCTATCCCTTACAAAAAAAGATAGGAATGCTGCTATACAATTTTACTAGATGAATGAGCTGTTCTGCGTTTCTATAGTACTTTATTTTTAATGACTCGAGTGACATTTTTCCTGCTTATTTCATTGCTATGTATTTGTATCTGATCTCACCAGTTAAAAAGCAAGGGATCACTGGGACCAGCAGGTGGTGTAAAGGTTACTCCACATAGGAGTTCATGGTTCAAGTTCTGGGCCTGGTGGCTTAAACCTTCACACCTGGTTTGTGTGTATGCGTGCCCATGGTCCCAAGAGGAGGATGGAGGAGAAGGGATTGTAGTCTGACCATCCCCTCTGGGGAGTGAATTCTCTGTTTCTATCTCCCCAACTCTCCAGCAAATACACACACCCTATAGCAAAAATCTCTCTTTAAAAAAAAAAAAAAAAGGGCAAGGATATCTCTTTGTATCTCTTCATATTTGTCACAGTGCATCCCATGTAATACTCATTTTTAGACTGCATAGACATTTTAATATGCTTCCATGGTTCTAAAATCTAAATGAGAAATTACCCAGAAGCCATATCCTTTAACTCACCTCCATACCATTTGCTAAATTGTCCCTCTCAATGACCACCTTTCTCTCTTTTCCACAGCTCTCTTCCGACGTGTTGCAGCAGCTTTGCCTGGGATGGAAAGCACGCAGGACAGAAGCAGAGAAGACAGTATCCTTTTTGTTTCATCAGAAATTTCTATTGTGAATATGATTCTTCACAGCCCCACTTGGTCACCTACGTCGTTACTTTTTACAGCCAGGAGTTGATGGCTTAGGAGTTTGGAAACAGGTTTTTCATAGCAATGCATTCTGGTTACCCAAGTGCACTCTTTCAAGCCTCCTGCTCAATGTAATTGATCAGTGAGAGGGTTTTCGTTTGCTTGCTTACTTTTTAATGAGTAAGAAACTAAGAATCACAGTGTCTCCTATTTCTTCATTTTGAATCCCATTGGTTCTAAGCTTTTCCCCCACAGTATATCATACTTTCTTCCCCTAGTTTTTTTTTTTTTTTTCCTCCTAAAGCCAGAGGGCACATTCACAGGGTGAGGAGAGGAGCACTCCCTAATGGAGTCTCGATTCATCACAATTCTTTTCTTTTTCTAATATTTGAGCTTCTGCTTGGCACAGGCAAGAAATAACTCAGAATGGCGCCTTATCTGAAAGCCTCTGCTTTCAAAAACCAGACATAATGAAGCACATCAAATATTAGTTAATTTGCAAGGATTTTCAATTTTTATGTTATTATTTATTTTATATTTACCTTTTAATGTTTTTTCATATACTACATGCATTTTTATTAAGCCATAGAGTTTATGGAGCTCTGTATTGATTTTTTTTCCCACTTCTACATGTTTTATGTTTTCAAGCCTTTAATGCTTTTAATGGCATAATGTGTTCTATTGAGTTAAGAGTCTCATCTTGTAGGCTATTTTCAGATTTTTATTATAGATAACTCTGTAAGGAACATCATCTTCAAAAGATTTCTTTGCTCTTTTTTTTTTTTTTTTCTTTTTTGCTATAGGGTGCGTGCGCTCACCAGACAGACAAAGACAGACAGGAAGCGAGACATCACCCCCACGGGGGATGGCCACGCCGCAATCCCTTCTCCTCTGTTCTCCTCTCAGGATCTTGGGCACACACGCACACGCACCCAGCGTGAGTTTTAAGCCACCAGGTCCGGGATGCGACCGTGGTCAACTACGTGGGAGTCCAGCGACATAGCCATTACGCCAACTGCTGGTCCCATTTCTTTGCTCTTACAGAATAATTTTTTAGGGTAGATTCTAACAAATAGAGCTTGTACCTCATTCTAACTCTTGGTGCATCTATATATTAGAAATAAATAAGTTTAGGGGCCGGCAGGTGGTGTGGAGGTTAAGGGCACTGGACTACCACATGGCCAACTGCAGTTCAAGTCCTGGACCTGGTGGCTTGCTTTCTCACTCCTCCCACCCCCGTCCCTCTCTCGTCAAATTAAAAATAAATAAAGTTAAATAAAATAATTCTTTACAAAAAAGAAACAAGGGACCAGCAGTTAGCGTAATGGCTATGTTGCTGGATTCCCGTAGTCAACCGCGGTTCGAGTCCTGGACCCAGTGGCTTAAACTCATGCCGGGCGCGTGTGTGTGTGTGCCCAAGATCCCGAGAGGAGAATGGAGGAGAAGGGATTGCAGCGTGGCCATCCTCCCCTGGAGGGTGATTTCTCGCTTGCTGTCTCTCTGTCTCTCTCTGTCTGTCTGGCGAGCGCACGTGCCCTATAGCCAAAAAAAACCTCTCCCCCCTCAAAAAAGAAACAAGTTTATTCTGTTTGAGCATTTGGTTATTGTTTTTTGTTTTTTTTGTATTTTTTTTGAGAGGTTTTCACTATAGGGCACGTGCGCTTGCCAGTCAGACAGAGAGAGACATAGAGACAGAAAGCGAGAAATCACCCCCCAGGGAGGATGGCCATGCCGCAATCCCTTCTCCTCCATTCTCCTCTCGGGATCTTGGGCACGCATGCACATGTGCCCGGCGTGAGCTTTAAGCCACCAGGTCTGGGACACGAACCACGGTCAACTAGTGGGAGTCCAACGACATAGCCATTACGCTAACTGCTGGTTCCCCTGTTTGAGCATTTGTATACTGAGACGGCTATGCAGAAAATAGTGACCATGTAGGCTCTGAAGCCAAATAGGAACACTATAAAAGCTCACCAGAAATGCCAGTATTTAACACAATTGGAATCGTATTCTCCCATTTACAGCTCCTTAACTTTTGTTTCAGTGATTGACATAAAACTGGAAAAGCCTCAGGAGCAACCCGTCAGTGAAGGCGGCTGTTCCTGCTAATCCCCCACGGCATCTTCGGCTCTTCTCCAGAAGCTCACTGCTTTGGCCCCCTTACTCTCATTGACTGCAGTGTGAATATTGGCTTGAACCTTTTCCCTTCAGTAATAACATATTGCAATTCATCATTGCTGCCTGTCTCGTGGAGATGATCTATTAGCTTCACAAGCACAAAAAAGTCAGTGTCTTCATTATTTATATTTTACAAAAAGCCAAATGATTCTAGCATATTCCAGTGAGAACTTTAAAAACCAGATACATTTTCTTAACATTTTTTTCCTTTTTTAATGTTATGATAATGTACTTTAAAATGATGGAAATCTCAGCAGTATGAGTATGGCTTAGTTAAGGAAGTGATAGGTTCATAGCAGCGCTTGCCTGCCTACTTGGTCTCTCCTTGCCTTTTTCACCTCTCCCTTACACCGTTCCCTGTCCTTACTGTCCCTGTCTCCCTGCAAACAAACCAGAGGTGGCAAAGCAGTAGTCAGACCGAACCTACTGGAATTTTCCTTCAGTTTTACAGATACTACTTGTTCTAGGCCATGAGCCAAGATGTCCAAAATTATTCTTGAGCACTGATATAAATTTACTTAGACCTTCTTTGAGGTCAGAACTAGCTATCGTGGTAGGCTGTGCTTGGATGAAAAAAGGGTTCTGGTACATCTTTAGAGTAAGTCCTAATGAACATACTGAGTACTTACAAGTAGAGGAACATAAAATGTATTTCTGACCAAAACAAATGACTCTTTCATACATGCTTTATTAGACTCTGGGAGAGAAAAGTAACTAAGCATGTCAGAAAAGATTTTTAATATTTAATTCTTCATGGTTAAAATCATAAAGATATAATGAACTCTTTCTCCCAGGATTTTAAAATTGTCAAGATAGATAGAGTTACTCTGTTTAAAAAAAAAAAATCTTTTTTAAGCAATAGATTTTGCTTGTGTTTTTCTTTTCTTTTTTTTTTTTAAATGCTGTGCAGGCAAGGCACTGTAAAAGTCAAATACCTTTAAAAAAGAACCAGTGGAAGAATTTAAATTTTTTTTGGCACCATGATAAAAACTACGCAACTAGTATAAATAATGGTATCTACAGATGAACCTTCAGCAGAATAGCAGATACTTTGCTCAGGACATTCGAGGTCAAATTGAAGACAGAACAGTTTTCTCGTAAGCCCCTAGAGGCAGATCAGAAAAAGCATCCATAGAAGAGGGAAAGGAGAGAATGGAAATAAAACTCAATATTATGCAGATTTATGCCTTATTTTTTAGCATTTTTTAAATGTTGGGTCTTTCAGGCTGGTTTTTGCTTTTTATTAGATCTGTATAGTTTGGTTAATTAACTAGTGATTTAGTTTTATATTTAAGCTACAATTAATCTTTTTTTCTTTGGCGATATTTATTTCTTTGCCTTTTTTAAACTACTTTAAATTTTTAGATGTTTTGTTGTGTCTTTTGAGAGCTTCATCACCATGGCAATATGTATTTCCCTTAAAACACTGCAAACAAATACACTAGGAGTGCACCCTTTTAATCTTTACTAGTTATTGTGAGATTGCTGTGTAAGTTAATAAACACATTTGTAAATACATTGTTTGCAGGAAGAAAATTTCTGAGTCACAGCTCAGGAAAAGCCTGCTGAATTTATGTTGTAATCATTACTTAACACAGTATAAAGATGAAAGACAACAAAAATATCTTCATACTCCCTCATCCCTCCATTGCAACAAATCCCTTAACTGGGAGAACCTTATTCCCCTTTTTCCTCTTCCTTCTCCACTTCCCACTTGTCACCTTGTAATATTCAGAGAGCACTTGGATTATGGATCTGAACAGAGACATGCTTTCAGATAATCATTAGCCCACATACCAGTAACTTAGACTAAAAGATGGGATGGAGTTGTAAAGTGCTTTTATAATACAATATTATTGTTAAAGGCAAGGATTGACTCTTTTGTTTTATTTTGACATAGCATGTCCTGAAATAAATATCGATTCAATATGGCAGATGGGTCATATTCTTTATTTGGAAGAAGTTGTGGTTTCTGACAAGGGGGTGATTGTCTTCCTACACTGTTGCATTTGATTTTTTAAATGTATCTTTAAGAAAGTAACCAGTTATGCTGCTTTTAATATTGATCTCTTTATTTGGCTTGGGGTTCAACTGAAGCAGTGAAGTGTGTTCATAGTTCAATTTTTTTTTTAATAAACACAATTTTGCTGCCAAAAATATATAAATAAAACATGAAAGAAAGCAATTATTGACTTGGTTTCCCATTCCTGCCAAGGCGATGAATTAGCATATGCTTCTTACTCTATCTCTAGAAAAAATATAAAGGGAACATTCAGTCCGAAAAATAACAGAGCAGTGACAAATAGGAGAAACCCCTATGAGAATCGCAGGATTCCTTTTGATTGTTGTTGGTGGCTCCAACTTGAAAGACTGGGCCTCTCATATTGGCAGTGATAGGATGTGTTAAGAAAAGTAGTTTTGGGGCCAGCAGATGGCATAATGGTTACGTCGCTGGACTCCCATGTAGTCAACTGTGGTTTAAGTCCTGATCCAGCAGCTTAAGACTCAAGCTGGTCGCATGTGCATGCATGCCCAAGATCCCAAGAGGATATTGGAGGACAAGGGATGGAACATGGCCGTCCCTCCCGGACAGCGATTTCTCACTTTATGTCTATCTGTGTTTCTCTGACGAGAACACATGCCCTATCTCTTTTTAAAAAAAAAAAAAAATCTAGCAAAATCTCTTTAAAAAAAAAAAGAAGAAAGAAAAAGTGGTATAAGTCCTGCTTTGTCTTTTCATGCCTGACAATACCTTTGCCTTAGGACAGAGGCCAGCAAACTCTGGCCCTCCATCCCATCAAATCCAGCCTACTACATGTTTTTGTTGCCAGAGGGTGTGTACACTCACCACAAACAGAGAGAAAGCACTACCTAGTGGTGTGTGATCATACCACAATCCCTTTTCACCATTCCTCCTTCCCATCAGGACTTTGGGCATGTACATACATGCACTTGGCATATTTCTTGAGCCACTGGGGCTGGGATTCGAACCACACTTTGTTATATGGGATCTGACTACCAGTGCACAGGGCTTAACTGCTGTGCTGTGGGGCTGGCCTATGCTATCTGGTTTTTTTTGTTTTGTTTTGTTTTTGTTATTGTTTTTGTTTTTGGAGAGGTTTTTGCTATAGGGCGCGGGTGTACTCGCCAGACAGAGACAGAGAGCAAGAAATCACCCCCCAGGGGGAATGGCCACGCTGCAATCCCTTCTCCTCCATTCTCCTCTCAGGATCTTGGGCACACACGCACACGCGCCCGGCATGAGTTTTAAGCCACCGGGTCTGGGACTTGAACCACGGTCAACTATGTGGGAGTCCAGTGACTTAGCCATTACGCTAACTGCTAGTCCCTGCCATCTGTTTTTAACATTAAATTTTATTGGAACACATACATTTCTCACTACAAAGACAGAATATAGTAGTTAAAACAGACCTATGATCTGAAAAGTCAAAAATATGTACTGTCTGGCTCTTTGATAGGTGAGGAGTTGATGAAAATAAATGTAAATCTCCCGAAGAAGATGTGACTTGGAATGATACCCTGTGGGAGTGATTACATGTAGTCTTATGGTTCTTAGAACTCAGCCCCGAGGTTTGTCCTGTCCCGGCCTTAAACTGACAGGCTGGTCTTTTACCCTTGCCCAGTACAGCTTCCTACACTAGTAACCTTTACCCCAAGAGGAATTTGAACTCAATAGGCAGTGTAGTTTGGTACCTGAAAACTGTCTCAAAAGAGAATAAAGTGCTGGACTCCCACATTGCCAACCACAGTTCAAGTCCCAGACCTAGTGGCTTGAAAATCACACAGGGTGCATGTGTGTGCATGCCCCAAATCCCAAGAGAACCGAGAAGGGATTGCAGAATGGCCATTCTCATGGGGGGTGGGGGATAGGGACTTGCAAGCACACACACCCTATGGCAAAAACCTAAAAAAAAAATAAAAAAAGTCCATATAAGCTGCTACTTTTCTTGAGCATCTGCCTAGGATGGGAATTGTTAGGTTATAGGATAACCTTAGCTTGTTGTCCTCTTAGGATAGACTGTTTTTTAGAACTAATTTAGAAAAATTTGAGAAAAGCAAAAGTCTGTATACCCCACCACCCAGTTTCCTCTATTATTAATTCTCTAGTATGGTTCACTTGCTAGCAATTATTGAACCAATGTTGCTATGTTAACAAATGCTCATACTTTATTATTAAGGTTTTCTTTGTTTTTTCCTTTATTAGAGAGGAGAGGGGTGGGTACTTCTGACAGGGTCTCATGGCATTGTGATAATGCCGACCCAGCGTCCAAATGATCAAGGATTACAAGAATGAGCAACCTGGTGAACAGAACCTGGACCTCCAGTGCAGCTTCCAGCCTCTCAGGTAGTAGCGTAAGTATGCAGCACTGCAGCTGCACCAGATTGCCCCACTCTTATCTTAATGTCTTTTTCTGTTCCCGGATCTTTTCCAGGATGCCACATTACATTTAGTCATAGGTGTCTGTCCTGTCTTCTTGGTTCTAATAGTTTCTCAGACTTTTGTTATTTGATGACCTGGACAGTTTTGGCGAGCATTGGTAAAGTATTTTGTAGAATACTCCTATTAGAATTAATTTTTTATCTCTCTCATTAAGATTATAGGTTTTGGGGGGGGCCAGCAGGTGGTGTGAAGGGCTCTGGACTCCCACATGACCAACCACAGTGTGGGTCCTGGACCTGGCAGCTTGCTTTCCCACTTGCTGGCTCACTCGCGCTCGCACTTGCACTCTCTTCTTCTCTTACCCCCGTAGTCAAATTAAAATAAATAAAGTTAAATAATCCTTAAATTAAAAAAAAAAAGATGATAGGTTTTTGGGAAGAAGATGACAGAGGTAAAGTTCCTTCACATCCTACCAACACTATATATCATCAGTATGCTCTGTCATTGTTTATGTTGACCTTCATCACCTGGCTGAGAGAGTGCTTCTCAGGTTCTCTTAAAATTACTCCTGCATTTCCATATGTGGTCTTGGAAGGAAGTCCCTATGTGCAGCCCAACCTTAAGGAGCGGAGTTTATATTTCTTGTTGGAATATCTACACAAATTATCTGGAATTCTGAAAGGGAGATTTGTCTCTTCTTCCTTCATTTATTCATTTATTCAGTCATTTATATTAGAATGGATGTATTTAGGGGCCAGCAAGTAGAGTAGTGGTTAAGGGGCCATACTTCCACATGGTTGACTATGGTTCAAGTCCTGAACATGGTGGCTTGAAACAGGTTGAGTCTGTGTGCTTGGATACCCAGAATTCTGAGAGGAGAATGGAGAAGTGATTGCAGTGTGGCCATCCCCCAAGGGGGCAATTTCTTACTTTCTGTCTTTGTGTCTCCAGTGAGTGCTTGCACTCTATAGCAAAAATCTCCCCCCCCAAAAAAATTAATGAAAAATGGATGCATTTATTTCATCCTTCGGGTTATAACCCAATACTACTTTATTTTGTTGCCCAGATTGCTCCACCTTTGGCCACTGAGAACTCTTTCAGTCATCTCTTTGTGCATAGCCCATCAAGTTTGTAGTTGAAGGACCAGCAGTTAGCATAATGGCTATGTCGCTGGATTCCCATGTAGTCGACCTTGGTTCATGTCCCAGACCCAGTGGCTTAAAACTCAAGCCGGGCACGTGTGCTTGTGTGCCCAAGATCCTGAGAGGAGAATGGAGGAGAAGGGATTGCAGCGAGGCCATCCCCCCTGGGGGGTGATTTCTCGCTCTCTGTCTCTCTGTCTCTCTCTGGCAAGCGCACGCGCGCTATGGCAAAAACCCCTTCAAAAAAAAAAAAGTTTGTATTTGAGCCCTTATTGACTTTATGATGCTCTAAGATGCTCCATTCATTCTTGTCTTGGATATTTCCCTACCCAGTCCTAGAGTCAGCCATTTCTCCAAGGATCCATGGTTTCTTTTCATTGGAAAATTGGTATTAGATACCAAGGTGTGGGGGTTGGGTGTGCTTATTGCTACTAGAGTGTTGTTTCTCTCAAGCCCTGTCAGTTGACTAATGAAGGAAGTGTGTGTATACTGGCGCACATGTGCTAGTAAATATTTTTATATGTAGCCATCTGTCTCTGTATTAAACTAGACATGAGTTTATACTGATGTCTCTAATACAGATCATTCTAGCCCCTTCCCCTTACTTAACTGTTTCCCATTCTACCAGTGAGAAATACGGCTCCCACCATCTGACATCCATTTACTTAATTGTACATAAATGTCACAGTTCTAGTTACATGTATAGCCGTGTCAGCCGGTTAACCCAGAACCCCATGGAAAACAACTTTTTCAACTAGAAGACAAGGCTTATGTGCAGTTCCTTTTACCTTTTCTCTTTTTTCTTTTTTTCCAGGTCTGTTCTCTTTTATTCAGTATTTTTGGGAAGCTTTTGTATAGTAGTAGTGTAATTTCATTCTTATATTTTTAGTACTATTCATGAATAAAGCCATCTGGGTTTGAGATTTTCCTTATAGGAAGCTTTTTCATTATGATTTGAATTTTTTTCTTTACTAATGTCTGTATTTTACTCATTTACCTCTTTTTTTATAATTAATTATTTTTACATTTTCCCACACACATTTACATATCAAAATTTTTTGCTCAGACTCCATAGTTCTTTTTTATTAAAGGAATTATTTGTTTAATTACATTTGTTGTTGTTCTTTTTAATTTGACCAGAGAGACAGAGAAAGGGAAAGTGAGAAAGCAAGCCACCAAGTCCAAGACTCAAACAGTGGTTGGCCATGTGGGAATTCAGCCCCTTTAACCACCATGCCACCTGCCGGCCCCTCAGTCTCCATAGTTCTTGACAGTTAATAAACAACTTCCAAAGTTAAAAAAAAACGAATTTTACAGATAATGTTTGAAATAGTTGTTATAATTTTGTTTGTGACTCTGTAATAGAGACAATAAGGTTTTAAATATTTTTGAGAAAACATTTACATCTCAACTACTCAACTGTTGAAAAGCAAACACCCAGCACACAATTCATATGTAAACCTTCTCAGTTCAGCCCTGTCTACCAAGTATTCTGTGATATGCCATCTGCTGGTGAAGATCAGTCTCTTTTTCTTCCTTCAAAGTCTTCCTCAAAATAATCCTCTGGTTCTGGCTGCTCTTTTGCAATCTTGACTGACTACAGTCCTGGACTGGAAAAGTCCAGGTTACTTTATGGTAAAAATTCTTTCATATAGCTTCTCTAATCCTCTCTGCCAGGCAGAACTGTTGATTATGCCAGACCACTTTTCCAAGAGCTTCTTTTGGCTTACTTGAGATCTACCTTAGTTCCATAGTTTTCTGGTTTAATCTTCAGATATGACATTCCAGTCAAAGGCCTATCCAATAACAAGTATTTCCAGTTTCTGATTCAAAGCAACAGGTATTATTGAACTTATGCAAATAACCATTCTGCCTCAAAATAAGAAAACTCCCAAATACTTGCCAATTCCAGAGGGATCAGGAAGGGAGAAAAGTTGATGTTTCTATTTAAAGAAACAAACAAGATCAATTGCTAAACCTATCAACAGCTCAAAAGAAAGCAAAATCCTAAAAAAAAAAAAAAAAAAAGGCAAAATCCTTAAGTTGGGAAAACATGTTAAAGAAAAAGTAACGTTGAACTAGAAAATCATAAAATTCTATTTCACCAGTTCTTATGTAATTAATCATCTGTTGAATTTGCAGCGTTACTGTGGTCCATCTTTCCGTTTAAATCCTGGAAGTTAACATATGACATTATTGATATTTCTTGTCCCTAGCATTAAGTTGATCCCTTTTACCATTATTATTATTATTTTTTAATTTAACTCTATTTACTTATTTTAATTTGACCAGAGAGGGACAGAGAGAGAGGGAGGGAAAGTGAGAAAGCAGGTCTCCATGTCTGGGACTCCAACTGTGGCTGGCCATGTCAGAGTCCAGCGCCCTTAACCACCACACCACTTTCCAGCCCTGGCGTGGTATATATTTAACATCCTTCTGCCTTAAACCTATTATCTTTTTTTTTAAATTTTCCTCTGTACAGTGTGTAGGCTCACCACAGAGAGAAAATGAAAAAGCATCCCTCGGGGGGGGATGGCCATGCTGCAGTTCCTTCTCCACCCTCCTCTTGGGATCTGGAGCATGTACACACACATACCTGGCATATTTTTCAAGCCACTGGGTTCAGGGCTTGAACTACACAATTAACCATGTGGGATCCAGCTGCCTTAACCTCCACGCCATCTGCTGGCCCTATCACCTTTGGATTTTAAAGTATCCCTCCCCCAAATTTTGTTCATTTATTTTTTTCAGGAGGAAGAGAGAGGCATCCCCCCAGGGTGATCATTTCACAGTCCACCCTCAGTCTCAGTCACCTGGGACCTGGGCACATGCACGCGTTCCCTGTGCGCTCGGGGTCACAGGATGTGAGAGCCACGCTCAAGGATGTCCCTGCAGGAGCATGCAGGATACCCTGTAGTCAGTGCTTAATGGCGTTGCCGCTAAGGGACTGAAAGAACCAAGCGCCTGCTGGAGAATGAAGGCTGGCGCTCCACTGGGTCCCCAGAACACACGGGACACACAGCGGGGGGTGACCTCTGAGCCAGTGTTGACAGACCTTGGGCTTGAGAGAAGCCCATGCTCTTGCCTAGGCTAGCAGCACTTACTGGACTGTGCCTGGCGCCTGGCACCCACCGCCCCCTCACCACACAGCCCACTATGACGTGAGGTGGCTCCTGAACTTCCTGGTGCACTCCCGCCTCTAAGGCTTTTGCTCAAGCTATCTCCCCTATCCGTTCTGTGTGGAAAGCGCCCTCTTTTTCAGGCAAACTCCTCCTACCCATTCTTCAAGGCCCCGACTAGATTTCCGTTTGCTGCTCCAGAGCTTTCCCCAGTGCCCAAGGTAGAGTTAGAAGCCGCCTCCTCAGAGCCCTCTCACCTCATTGAGTGTTGTCTATAGGAGTTTCTAAATGGTGTCTGGAAGCATAGCTGAGGAGGATGCCTGAAATCTCTGCCAGCTAGTTATGTATCCATCCTACCTCTGGGACAGTGCCCTAAATTTCCTCTGGGACACTACCCCACCCCTGCAATAAGCATCCTTTTCCTGATCATTGATGGGCAGGGATGACCATGGGGCACAATTTGGACTATTTACACTGATGGAGGAAGGGAATCCCTTAGTGGGACCTGAACCTAGGAGAGCACTAGTCTGGAGCTTCTGAACATCACTACAGCCTCCAAATGAGCCAGCCCAGCGGCCGTAAAGATGGGGGAAAGCATGATTGACAGAGGCCTGAACCACACAGTTCTTGGACTTCTTAGTTATGTGGCCCAGTGTCTGGCTTAAATCTGTTTATGGAGAGGTTTTTGTCTCATGCAGCCTCATGTGGCCCGATGCAAGCTGGTTTTGTTTCCTTCCCTGGCCACCTGGTCTCTATGAGAACAATTCACTGATTCAACTCTAGAATGATGAGAACTTTCTGGAAAAGACCCTAGGACTCTCGGAAAGCAGGCAGAGCCCATGCTGGATCGTCCATTGGCTCAAACAACACAGACCTTAACATAGTCTCTCCTTTGAAGGCCTCAGGAACGAACGGATGGCTTCGACAAAAGCAAGATCCAAAGGTTAAGTGACTGGCCCCCAGTCCTTTGGCTAACGAGCTGTCTGTCACTGCTTCCATTTGACCTCAGAACATCACTCCTCTTACTATTGCAGAGAAGGCCTGGTGGTGCTGGGTCATGCAGATGTCCCAAGGAGATGCCTCCCGGGAAAACAAAGGGATCCGGAGCCAGGGCTAGAGCCGACCACACCTTTATTAGTTTGCAGCAGAGCCAGTGGAGCCCTCTACAGGGAACTTTAGTGGGCTACTCTGGCTACCCGAGGGACATCAGCATTTCTCCTGGCAGTTAGGACAGGATGGGGAAGAGACTGGAGAGGGATCGAATGAGGTGGCTGCTGGGCCACCTGCAGGCAGGCACATGTGCAGCTTCCCAGACTGGTACAAAGGTGGATCAGGCCCCGGGGGTGACACTGTCATCTCCCCCAGAGATGAGAAATCTGAGATGGCGACAGTCACAGCTACAGAGAGCTGAGCCCTGAGATCAGAGAGGCATTCTTGATGGTGGCAATTTCTTAGGGCTGGGGACTGAAAACAGCTCCCCTGTCCCCCAACCTGTCGCGCTGGGCTCAGCTACGTTTTCAGCGGGAATAGGAGACCCAGGAAGTTGGGAGTAGGAAGGAGGGTAAATTCAGGGAGTGTTTTGGAATGGGTATGTATGTCAGAATTAACAGATGCAGCCCCAAAACAGCTCCCATATCCCCTTCACCCAGCAACCCCCCTCGCCTGGAGGCCTACCATGACCTGACTCCTGCCTCACTCCTAACCCAACTGAACTCTTTAATTCCTCCCACATGCCCTGACGTTCATGGCCCTGTGAGCTTGCCAATAACCCTACCCCCACGTCCTTGTAAAGGACTGATAATGGAGGCTGGGTCAAGTGTTCTGTTTACTCTTGGTTTCTGCACCAGGCCTGGGGCTCCCTGACGAGACAGCAGAGAACCCAGGGAGTTCGTGCTCGCTGTGTCCTTGCGTGTTTGGAGGCGATACACCTGTATGTCTGTGGGGGCTCCTGGGGTGTCTGGCTGCAGATGTGAGAATCTCTAGCCATGTCTCTGCCTGGGTGAGGGTGGGGAGTGGGACCAATGGTTCAAGCCCAGAAGGGACTAGCGGACAGGAAGGGGCCCAAGCGGGACAGCGCGGATGGTGGAGGGTGAGGTCCAGGAGGAAGAGGGGTCTGGCGGTCTACGCGCAGGCTGCAGCGCTCGGGGCCCCAGAGCTCAGAACCAGCAGGGCGACCACATGAGTGAGCCCAGCGCGGCGCCGGTGGCGGCTCCGGCCAGCATGCCCATGGCCAGCGGGGCGCCGGAGCTGTAGCAGGGGTCCTCCCGCACGATCACGTGCGTCACGCCGGGACCTGCGAAGAGAACCGGAAGGGCCGCGACTTGAAGGGGAGGGCAGAGAGATCTTCGTTCCCTTCCCGCATAATTGCAGCTCAAACCAAGGGCTCACTCTTCCGCTTCCCAGTCAGGGAAACTGAGGCCTTGACGCGGAAAGGGCTCCCCGCCACGGCTTCCGGGCCTTGGGTCTACTACGGATGTTGGGGGCTGTGGGGCTAAGGCGGAGCAGCGAGGAAACGGGATCTATAAGCATCCCGGTGCCACAACTGAGGATGGGCGTTCCCAGCCGTCAGACCTCGGAGCCCTGGAGCTGCCGTTCGCACTTGAGCCACCAGAGGTCGCCACCGGCTCAGAAACAGGTACGGCGGGCAGGCGGGGAGAGTAGGGGCGGGTCTGGAGAGCGAGGTCAGCTCGGGAGTGGGAGGACTATTCTGAGTCTTGGGAATGGGGAGGGGCTTGCGGAGGGTCCAGCCTCTGAAGATCGTGAATACTAAAAGAATGAGGTGTGGCATGACTGAGGGACCTGAAGAGGGCCTGGTGCAGGGAGGCAGGCTGCGGGGCCTCGGGCTAAGGGCTTACCTGCGTAGGGCGGTCCGTAGTAGCTGCGGACATAGGTGGCCTCGTGCGCGTTGGGGGGCACCACCTCGTAGTAGTCCTGGTATGGGCTGTAGACACGCACCTGGGAAGTCCGCCAAGATCAGCTGCCCAGGAACTCCCCGCCCCAGGCTTGGTCCCCTACCTCCACACCCGGCTAAGACCCCATGAAGCCCCCTCCCTAAATTTAGAAAAGGTAATGGGCAACACCTGGGGAAAGGCCCTCCCTCCCCACAACTCCCCACAACATCCACGGTCCTTGTCCTCTGAAACAGCAGCCCCTGCACCCAGCTCCCAGCGGTGCCCATTCTCCTGCTCTGGCCTCCAAGGCTCCCAGCGTCCCTTCAGACAGTCTTAACCTTTGCTAACAGCTCTGCATTGGCCCCACGTGTTGAAGCCCAAGCCCTCTACCCAAGAAATGTGCAGGGCTGGGGAGGAAGGAAGGGAAAGGAAGAAACTGTTAGGAGCATCCACTATGTACCGCTGGTGAGGGAGGTGTCCAGGTGTGCTGCCGCCCCTTATCCTTCGGGCAGGCATTGTTACCTCCACATTGCCAGAGTTGGAGACTGAGGCTCAGAGAATGGCCGGTGTTCTTTCTCCCTGCCCTTCCCTTTCCCCCATGTCTTCCTGAGTTCTCTGTGGACTTCACTGTGCCTCTCATTGCTATCCTTTCTCCTGGTCTTTCCGGGCCACACCCCAAAAGTGAGCTCCCTGTGGGCCTGGACTGCCACTCACTCGGGTGGCCAGCAGGGTCTTGTGCAGAGCAGGAACCAAAAAATATATGCTGGTTAATCGGAAGCTCCCAATCCAAACCCCCGATTACCCATGGGGGAGCAGACCTGCGGACAGGGCAGACCGCCTCTTCTGAACCCCTCCCCTTAGCTCCCTCCTGTCTCTGTCTCTCTCTCACTGGGCTTCACACCTGAATGGGCCAACTCCCCTACGAAGTTCACGTGCCTCAAACTCCAGCCATCCCAGGGTGATTGCAACATCTCTCCCCCAAACCTGCTCCTCTTCCCACAAGTGCTTTTCTCAGTGTCATAACTGTGCACCAAACCAAGAGATCAGGCTACCCCCCTTGATCTTCCGCATCACACCAGCCACCAGGTCTCATGGTTTTTATTTTTGTTTTTAAGCTGCTAAAGGACACCTGCAGTCACCTGAGAGACAAAGAGAGGGAGAGGGAGAAGTAACCCCCACTGGGGCATGATCGCACCACAATCCCTTCTCCATTTCTCCATTCTAGTGAGATTTGGGGCTCACACACACACATTTCCAGTGTGTTTTTTAACCCTCTACAGCTGAGACTTGAACTGTGCAGTTGGCCATGTGGGATCTGGCTCCCTAGACCACGAGGCTGCAGGGCTTGCCCTTTTATCTTCTAAATACACTCTTCGGCCTTCCTCTTGGCCAATGCCATGAAAGTAAGCCATTGATTTTAATAACCTGGAAATTTAGAGTGACCTTGAAAAAACACTTTTTGGAGGAGCAGCTGGGGGAAGAAGGCAGACTACACGGTTGAAGAATGGTTGAGAAACGAGGGGTGGACTCACATGTCAGAACATCAGACACGTTTCGAAAAGCTTGGCTGTAAAGGGAGGTTCTCCAAGCACGCCTGTGACTCAGGTCTCCATGCCATTTCCTTTTGACAGGGACACCCACCTCACCACTTCGCATTCAACTACCTAAACTGTTTTTCTTTTTTTTTTTTAAATGCCAGAGGGTGCATGCACTTGCCAGAGGGAGAGGGAGAGGGAGAGGGAGAAAGCACTCCTGGATGGGGCATGGCCACACCACAATCCCTTTTCCTCCATTTCTCCAAGATCCCATGTCAGGGTTTTGGCACATGTGCACACACACACACATGTGGCATGTTTTTCAAGCCACCAGAGTCAGGATTCAGACTATAGTCAGCCATGTGGGATCCAGCTCCCCTAATCACCAGGCCATAGGGCCAGCCCTAAATTGTCTTTCAGACTCAAGTATTGCTCCCCCGGAATTTTGGGTTCTGTTGGAGCCCATCTGGACACCCACAGCCTCTGTGAGCGTCTGTCTCGCCCATCAGATTTGGGAGCTCCAGCTAGGGCAGAAACTGGGTCTGATCAGACCTGCCTGGAACATGGCAGGTGCCTAATGAAATTTTCTTGACTTTATCTCAAGAGCATCATATACAGGGCCAAATGGGAACTAAGGCCATCCAACTCTCAGTTCAGTTTCAAGTTAGGAGGACAAACAGCCCCAGGGCCAGGCAGGAGGCTCAGGCAGCAGCACTGGAGGTCCTCACCCTCCAGAGACTCTCTGCGCTATGTTCCCTCCCTGAGTGATCCAGTCAGCTTTTTGGTGGGAGTGGCCAGGATCTGGGCTCCATGCCCAGAAGGGGCTGGAGGGATGGGCGCCTCAGACCCAGTTTTGCTGGCAGAGAAATTGGAAGCCCTGAGCTCCACCTGGTCTGCAACTGCACAGTGAGTCAGAGGCTTTGGGAGGCCCTGGACAGGGTGGAAAACACCACCTCATGTCCCCTCGGGGCCCGTGTTTCTACCCTCCAGGTTGGGGAGGCCCAGAAGTAAACGCATGGAGGTCACCTGGCAACAGCCAGACACACTCCAGAGACCTCATCGGTAGAATCTGAGGCTTGATCTCTGATCTCCTCCTTAGAGGCCCAGCCTCTTCTGTGGGCAGGGACCGTGTTGGCTAGTCAGGGGGGTCACATGCAAATGATTCCTTCCCTTAGACAACCTGTTTGTACTTAGGCGACTGTCTTTTTATTTCTTGGTAGAAGGCATGTGGGCACTCCCTGGAGAGACAGGGAGACACAGAGAGAGAAAAAGGAGAAAGCATCCCCCATGGGGGGATGGTCATGCTGCAATCCCTTCTCCTATCTCTCCCTCCTCTCAGGATTTTGGGCACACACACATGTGCCCAGCACGTTTCTCAAGCTGGTGGGTACGAAATGTGACTCTGGCTGCCTTAACCACCAAGCTACAGAGCTGGGCCAGGTGTACTATTTTTAAATCTTATTTTCAGGCATTCCCACTTCTTTTTTGTTTATTTGTTTGTTTTGTTTTGTTTTTGGAGAGGTTTTTGGTATAGGACGCATGCGCTCGCCAGAAAGAGAGACAGAGAGACAGAAAGCGAGAAATCATCCCTGCCCGGGGAGAATGGCCACGCCACAATCCCTTCTCCTCCATTCTCCTCAGGATCTTGGTCGCTCACGCACACACATCTGGTGTGTTTAAGCCACCAGGTCCAGGACTCGAACCACAGTCGACTACACAGGAGTCCAGTGACATAGCCATTACGCTAACTGCTGGTACTGCCCACTTTTGTTTTTTAAACAAACCACTATCCTAGTTTGGGCATAGGGAATGCCTCGGAATGCTGGGCTGGGAGGCCTAGGCCTGCCACTGATGAATGGAGCGACCTGCTCAGGTCAGGTAACCTTCAGAGCTGCTGCTTTCTTTTTTTTTTTTTCCTTTCTTTCTTTGGGAGAGGTTTTTGCTATAGGATGCGTCCACTCCCCAGAAAGTCAGAGGGAGACAGAAAGACAGAAAGCGAGAAATCACCCCCGAGGGGGGATGGCCACGCCGTAATCCGGGGGATGGCCACGCCGTAATCCCTTCTCCATTCTCCTCTCAGGATCTTGGGCACACACGTGCCTGGGGCGTGAGTTTTAGCCACCAGGCCCAGGACTCGAACCGTGGTCGACTACACAGGAGTTCAGTGACATAGCCATTGCGCTAACTGCTGGTCCCAGAGCTGCTGCTTTCTTATAACGTCCTTCCTACCTGCCTGCTCCTGAGAATCCAGCAAAGCCACAGCTGTGCAATGGATGGCCAGAGCCCTTCAGGGCTCAGTGGTTCTGCAAGTCAGTATCCCCAGGGGCAAATGTTTAGCCTATAGATGTCCTGGGCCCCACCCCAGGCCTCTGAAATGAGAGCATCCGGGTCTGGGCTGTGGACGCGTTGCCCTCATCTTTCAGGGAGGTCCCACTGACTGTAAGACCAAGACCCTACACAAGCCCCGCGCCAGGCCTCACACTGAGCTCTGGGGGCAGAAAGAGAATTCACACTGCTTTTGAGAAACATTCAAAGTAGGGAGACACAGGCCCCAATGAGGAGAAACAAGGCCCAGGAACTTACACTATGCAGTCCTAGTGCCCTAGCGGAGGTGTTTTTCTCCGGCCCTCCTTCCGTCGCTCGTTTGCTCATTCCGTGAATGTTCTAAGGCCTGCCTGTGCCAGACATCGTGTGCCAGGAATGCGGAGAGTCGGAACAGACTGTCACCGTCCTGAGCACTCACGGAGCACCTGCTGTATGCCCAGCCCTGTGCCAAGCTCCGCAGAGCACAGCGAGTCAGACTTGGCCCTTGCCCTGGAGGAAATCCAGGTCTCCTAAGACCAGAGAGGAATAAGCCACCTCTGAAACCAGGCGGAACGAAGACAGTGCATCATATACAGGGCCAAATGGGAACTAAGCTTGCTGCTGGGCTGAGACAGGAGTGACGGTGCCTGGAGGTGCCCTTGAGGGCTGGGCATTGCTTTGTCTAGTGAAGAAACTAAGAGGCTTGGTGGCAGAGAAAGCAGCGTGTGCAGAGGCAGGAAGAGGGGTGAGGTCTGCTGGGGCTGGGGTTAGAGGGTGCAGGGACAAGGGGATGTGGCAGAGGAGACTGGACCGGGCCAGGTTCTGAGGGCCTGGAAAGCCAGCTGTGGTTGGTGTTCCTTGGTAATGGGGAGCCATGGAATGTTCGTGAGCTGGGGAGGGATGTGGTTGGGCCTGGTTCTGGAAGTTCACCCTGGTGACCAGGGTGGGCTGAGCTAGCACTTACCCAGGGTGGCCCTGGTGGCAGGGAGGGCTGAGCTAGCACTTACCCAGATCCGCCTCTCAACCTTACAGGGGCTCCATGAGCGGGTCACACACCTGACCTTGGGGCAAACCCGGCGGCTCCTAGGAGGGACGGTGGCTCCAGCTGGGGCCTGCTCAAGCCACAGAAACCCAAGAAGGGGGAGGGAGGGAGATGTCAGAGACCCCCTACACCTGCAGAGACTCAGAGCTCTTCCCAGGCCCTACCAGAACCTTCTGCCAGCTGGCTGGGGCAGGAGGCTGCCCTCTTCCTCCTCAGCCCAAGGCAATGGGGAGGCCCAGAGAGGGGTAGTGACTGCCAGCAACAGAGGAGAAGGCCCAGTAACCAAGGCCTTCCATCCCATCCTCGCTTTTCTGTGCAGCTGGGGTGCCTAGTCTCCAGACAGGACAAGGCAGCTCTCATTGTCCTCCCCCCACTGGCCCCTTCACCACCTTCACCCACAGCCCTTCCCTGGCTATGCCCCATGGCCCTGCAGACCCTGGTACAACTGCAGTCAGGGGCTCCTGGCACCTCCACCCAGAGTGGGGTGTGAACCTGAAGCACATGGAGGGACAAAGCACAGGTCACTCCATGGCACTGGGACAGAGCAAGGCCCCAGAGCACACAGATGTGAGCAAGCAGGAACATACACTGGCTCTAGTAAGCCCTGGGACCAGAGGGCCATGTGTGTAGGGCAGCGGGAAGAGGAAGAGCAGGTCAGGCAGAAAGGAGGGGTGGAGCTGCAGCAGGGGGACAGGTAGAAGGGGACAGGCAGAGCAGACAGCAGCTTCATAGAGTCACAGAGTGCAGACGGTCAGCCCCCAGCGCCTCCCTTTTGCCTCTCTTGGTTGGGCCCAATTTGCCCGGGCCTTAGAGCTCGGAACCCCTTCTGGGTGCCCCCACCCTGCCGGCCACTGCTCCAGCTTCCTCCCACTCACTCTCTGCCTGGAAGCCTGAGTCTGCCCCCAAAGTCTCACCACAACCCTCAGGGAAAGTCCAGTTCTTCCAGCTGGACCTGCAGGCCCCGTGCGGCCATGATCTCTGCCGATATCTCTCTAGGTCATTCTCTCCAAACATTACCCTCCAGCAAGGCCAGGCTCTGCGGTTGGGCAGACTCAAAGGGTCAAGGTCAGGCTGGGCCTTGGGTGGCTCTTCAAACCTATGCCTCCATCGGTCACTAGGCCCTGTGGGCTCCACTTCCTACACATGTTCTGTGTCCGCCTGCCTGTCTCTTCCAGCAAGGCCTCATCAGTAGCTCCCGCCTGTTGCCTGGACACTGTCCCAGCCTCCTAACTGCTCTACAGCTTCCACTCTTACCCTTAAGATCCATCCCCTACCTTTTCTTTTTTTTGCTATAGGGCACATGTGCTTGCTAAGGAAGGGGGTGATAGATCATCCCCTGGGGGAATGGCAACGCTGCAATCCTTTCTCCTCTGCTCTCCTCTTGGGATTTTGGGCACGTATGCATGAATACATGCCTGGCATGTTTTTCAGGCTGCTTGGTATAGGATTCGAACCATGTAGTCATTCATGGAGGATCCAGCCACCCTAACCACCAGGCCACTGGCTGGCCTACCCCCTACCTTTTTAAAAATACAAATCTGGGCCAGCAGATGGTGTAGCAGTACATTGCTGGACTCCCACATGGCCGACCACAGTTCAAGTCCCAGATCCGGCGGTTTGAAACTCATTCCTGGCACATCATGTGTGCACATGCCCAAGATTCCAGGAGGAGAAGGTATTGCGGTGTGGCCATCCCCTCTGGGTGGACGATTTCTTCCTTTCCCTCTCACCGTCTCCATCTCTCTCTCTCTCCAGTGAGCGCACACACCCTAAGGCAAAAACCTCTACCAAAAAAAAAAACGAAATATAAATCTGATCTGATCATGGCATTCCTTCGCTTCCTGCTGCTCGTTGAAGAAACCAACATCCTTAACAGCCCATGGGCTTGGCTCCTCACTCTGGAGCTCCAGCTACTCCGTCTTCCTTCAGTTCCTCGAGCAGCCAATGTTCAGCCCCTTTCAGGCCTTTGTATATGCTCCTTCACCCCATCCCCACCCCTTTCATCCAGCCAATTTCTGTTCATCCTTCAGGTCTCAGTTTGAGCCTCCTCTGCACTCCCACCAAAGGAGTCACACCCTGCATGTCTCTGTCAGACCAGTTGCCACTATCGAAATGCAATCATCAAGTAATGGATGAGTGGTTTCTCATCGGCCTTCTCCCTTGGCTGAGTCCCGGAGGGCAGGGCCCATGTCTCCCTGGTGCACCTCTGATCCTGGGCATTTGGTTCAGCATCTGGCACAGAGCAGGAACTCAGTGAGTACCTGCTGTTTCACTTGGGTGAATGAGCCCTAGCCTTTCATCTGCAGAAAGCAACCTCATAGGGCTGTCGTAAGGAGCAGCTGGATGACACCTGTACCACGCCTGGCACATAATAGTTGCTCAATACAAGATAGGCCCTTTCCCCTGGTTCTATGCCCCACTCCCCCAACATTCTTCATGGAGACTTCTTTCTCCCCCTGCTCTGAGCACCAGCTGGCTGTCCTCTATCCTTTCCCACTTGAGACTCGGGGCATCTGAACCTCTCTACATTAGACTGAGAGTTCTTGGCAGGTGGAGACCAAGTCTGAGTCACCCGTGATTCCATGGCACGTGGGGTGGGGGAAGTGGGAAAAGAATGAGGCTCACCGGGGTGGAGTTCGCCTCCAGCAGCGCAGTCTTCCATGCTCTGCAAAGCAAAGCCCACCACACCATAAGGAGAGGGCTGAGGGAAGGAGAATCAGGTCCCCACATCTTAGACTCTCCTCCCCTACCCAGTCCCTACCCCCCATTTCTTTCTTTCTTTCTTTTTTGGAGACATTTTTGCTATAGGGTGCATGTGCTTGCCAGAGAGACAGAGAGAAATGAAGGGAGAGAAGGTGAGAAATCACCCCCTGGGGGGTGGTCACACCACAATTCCTTCTCCTCTATTCTCCTCTTAGGATTTTGGGCATGCACACACATGCACCCAGCATGAGTTTCAAGCCACTGGGCCTGGGACCCAAATCACAGTCCACCATGTAGGACTCCAACGCTTTAACCATGACCCCACCTGCTGGCCCTGAGCCCATCTCTTGTAGACCCTCTGACTCACTCAGGAAGACAGTCACATGAATGCCCCAGTCACACGGATGGAGCCTTGTGTTAGACTAATTCTCCCTGTGTGTGTGTGTGTGGTGTTTTTTTTTTTGAGAGATTTTCACTGTAGGGCGCGTGCGCTCGCCAGACAGAGAGAGAGACATAGAGACAGAAAGCGAGAAATCACCCCCCAGGGGGGATGGTCACACCGCAATCCCTTCTCCTCCATTCTCCTCTCGGGATCTTTGGCATGCACGCACACGCACCCGGCGTGAGTTTTAAGCCACCGGGTCCGGGACACGAACCGCGGTCTACTACGTGGGAGTCCAGCGACATAGCCATTACACTAACTGCTGGTTCCCTGTGTGTGGTGTTTTAGACAGGGTCTTGTGTGTCAGAACCCTCCTGCTTCAGCCTCCCAAGTAGCTGAGACTGCAGGTACATGCATGAAGCCTGGCTTTTTTAGGTTGAGCCAGGAATCAAACCCGGGCCTCCCATGTGACCTCTGCCTGCTGAGCAGCAGTGTCCAGCACAGCTGGGCTGGCTAAGTCATTCTTAAGTCCACGGTCTCTGTGCCTCCAGCTGGCCCAGTTTCCCCATCCCTACAGTGGACAGGGGCCCTGGGGGATCTCCTAGGGGCCTTCAGATTCTAATGCCCAGAAGGGTGCTCTGGCTACAGCCCCGCACCGCATCCCAAACCTACAAACATAGCTCCAGAGTTCTGACCCCGGGGCCCCGGGAAGGCCCAGTGCATGCTGGACAATTGGGCCTTTGTCGGTTGTCATGGCACCTGGTGGGACAGACAAGGCTGCTCTGTGCTGTCGGCACAGGCTCAGCTTTCTCCCCACCAACACCCGCATCTCTCTCCCTGTCCTCCAGTGCCAGCGCCAAATGCCTCTCGGCTGGAGGGTAGGAAGGAAAGGAATGTGAGTGAGCAAATGGCGCCGCGAGGAGACACCAGGCTCGCAGAGGGAACGTGCATCTGACACCGGGGCGCCCTACCTGCACACTGCCACCTCTCTCTAGGCAGACCCAGGTCTACCCTTCAGACCAGAGTCCCCACCAGGGCAGCTTCTCAGGAGTGGTGGGAGAAAGGGTCCTTTGAGCACGTCTGCTCCTCTGTATCGCACCAGATAAAACCTCACCTTAGAGGCTGGGAAGTATCTGCTTCAGGAGGACCAGGGGCCCTGCACCTGAGGCAGGCGTGCTCCCCTCTCCCTCGGCATCCTGAGTTCATCGAAGGCCATGTGGAGAGTTCACTGTGACCTCTGATAAGACAACTCCGCTGACTGGCCTTAGTGCCCACTTCCTACCGTCAGGGACTAGAAGGCCCGATGAGGAGGAAGCACCTGGCCACACCCAGATTCCTCCTCTATCCTCCCCGGGAGCAACTCACATGGCATCATCCTGGGTCTCCGCACACAGGTGCAGGCGGGAGCCCTCCCGCAGGTTCACGGTCAGCAGGCCGTCTCGGCTCCGGCCCTCGGGGGGCTGCACATCTGGAAGCAGACAGACACTTCGATGTGCTCTGCACAGGCACTGGGCCCCAGTGTCCCAGTAAGCCAGGAACAAGCGGAAGCCCCACCTTCCCTGGCTCCTATTTACTGGCCTTTGTCCAGCTCCTCTTGACAAGAAGTAGTATCCGTGGACACCTCCCACCCATGAACGTTGCAAAAAGCCCTCCCAATCCAGGTGTTCTGACACAACGGGTGGGCCCCCTACAGTCCATGCCACGAGGGCAGGGCTCTCACTCACCTTGGCACTCTTTGCCAATCTTGATGTCGCGGACATTGAAGTGGATGAGCACGCGGTCCTCCTCGTCCTGTGCTGTCTCATCATGGTAGTAGCCCAGGGTCCCACCCAGCCACAGGGCGAACCAGTTCCGCTTCCAGCGGCGAAGGATGGAGCCTGTGCGATAGTCCAGACCCGTTAGGCGGGCTGATCCCAGAGACCCAGACGGGCCTCCATGGTCCCCCCGAGCCCTAGCCCCCAGCGTCATATGTAACCCCCTCTTCTTTGACCAGCTCCTGGCTTACAGGAGGGCAGGCTTTCTGTCTTGCTGCCTGCCTGCCTCCCCTGGAGCCTGACACAGAGTAGGGGCCCCACCATGTGCCGAATGATGAATGAGTGACTGGGCCCATGGCCTGGCACTTCTAAGTCAAGTCCCAGGTCTCTTCAAGGGTAGAGATGTCTCCCGGCCGTGAGCCTCCTGGCATGTGTGGCCATCATTTGTGTGGTGCCTGCCTCCTCACCACAACTCCCTATAGTGTTTGCTGAGCTGAGTGAACAGAATGGACAGGAAACCTGTCCCAGGGGTCCCCAGGATAGCTTGTGATCAGACCATGATTCTGGTCAGAGACGGGTCTGCAAGCTTCAGACATTTTACAGCTGGGACTAGTAACAGGACGGAGCAGAGGCAGAAGAGCTCTGCAGCCGCCGAAGCACAGAGGTGTTCTTCATTCTGTCCCTGCCTGTTCAGCCCTGGGCTGAGGTGCTGTGGTCACGCCGAGGGTCAAACCCAGTCCCTGCCCTTGAGAAGCTCAGACTCGGGGGTCAGGTTAGGGTGAAGGAGTGGGCGACCCCGCAGGCAGAGACGGTTATATTGTAAGGAGATCACTCAAAGGCATTTGGGGATTATATTATAAGGAGATCACTCGAGGAGGGGCACCCCTGAGCCAACTCAGGCTGCAGCAGGGGAGAGATAAAGGGACAGAGGGACAGTTAGAGGAGGCTCCTCCAGAAGGGCCTGGGTCTAGGCTGGGTCTTGAAGAACGTCGTCGAGACGTTCCGAGCAGCCAGGAATGGAAGGATACGCAGGTGGAGGGAAGGGCATGGAGGGAGGGAGGGTAAAACGGCCCAGGTTTCTGGGGAGAAGGGCAGTGTGGCCAGCCCCCCAAGTGGCCTCCCTCACCCTGCCCCAGGACAGGGTGTAGGACGCTCAAAGGCTCACTCACTCTGTCTCCACAGCCAGCCGCCCCTCACCAGGGCCATTTCTTCAAAAGGACTTTCCAGGGCGGAGTCAGGCGGGATCTGTCAGAGGAGCCAAAGGACACACAGGCCTCATCAGACGCTCCAGACTACTCCCCAGAGAGATGCCCCCCGCCAGTCCTCCCTTGGGGAGCCTCTGAGGAGACGTTTAGGGAGTGCCAGTAAACAAACACAGGCCTGGCATCTAGGCCTCCTCCCTGTCACCAGGAGCAGAGAATAGGGCACTGTCCTTGTGGGGAGCTGGTGCCCAGGACAGCTCCGGCCTGTTGTGATGGGTGGGGGTGGGGAGCCGGAGCCTTCTCCGACCTCAGCTCTGGCCTCAGCTCCGGCACTTTGGCTAGGTCTCTCCTCCCCACCCTCTGGCCTAGCCTGCATTTCTAGGTCTGTGAAAGTGTGTCTGTGAGGCAGGTAGAGGCTGGAGTGAGGAATTCTTTAAATATTAAAGACTCTGGAATTTTGAAATGCCACAAGCATAGGAGATTAGAATCGTGGCAACAAACGAGGGATTTTCATGACAAAAAAAATCCTCCCTGGTGGCTGGCAGGTGGTGTGGTGGTTAAGGGCACTGGACTCTCACATGGCCAACCACAGTTCGAGTCCTGGACCTGGTGGCTTGCTTTCTCAATTTCCCTCTCTCTCTCTCTCTCTCTCTCTCACTCTCTCACTCTGTCCCTCTCTGGTCAAATTAAAACAAATAAATAAATAAAGTTAAATAAAATAACTCTTAAACAAAAAAAACCCTCCCTTATATTTGGAGCCCATCAGAACCATCTACAAAGCCCATGAAATAATAGTTTAACAGTAACTACGGGGGACCAGTGGGTGGTGTGGTGGTTAAGGTGCTGGACACTCCAACATGGCCGACCATGGTTTGCGTCCCAGACCTAGTGGCTTGCTTTCTCACCTTCTCTCACTCTCGTCAAATTAAAAATAAATGAATGAATAAATAAAGTTAAATAAATAATTATTTAAAAAAAAAAAAAAACAGTAACTACAAATGAGCACTGCGTGCCAGGTACACTTCTCAGTGCCGTCCTCTATTGTCTCATTTAAGCCTCCCAACAGTCCTTGCTCTTATTCCCATTTTAGTGGTGGAGAAACTGGGGCCTGGACAGATCCAGTCAGCTGCATAGACCCACTTGATCAATAAACAGGGGAGCCAGAATCCACACCCAGCAGTCCTGGCCTCTACCCATTATACCAGCAGGAGCTTTGAGAATGCAGTGCCCAAGTCAGACCCAACAATTAATGGGAAGGACTGGGGTGGAAGGAGGAAGCACCACTAGTCTTCAAAGACTCCCAGGTGACTCCTGAGCCGCAGGGTTTGGGAGCCACTGCACGTTCTGTACGGGGTCAACTTGTAACCCTGTTAGGTAGGGATCCTTACTCCTATTTTACAGATGGACTAACTGATGTACATGACGGACCATGAACCGGAACCCAGGTGTCTACTGCTCCTGAGGGCAACTTGCTAGCAGATACCTTTGCCCCTCCCCCACCTGCTCACACCTGTTGCTGCGTAGTAAGGGTTGGCACACTTAGGCTGGGAAGCCCAGCCTTCTCCCTGCTCCTTCTGCCGCTGCTTCCCTCTCCAGGCCCTAACACAGATCAGACAAGAGGGCCAGGTGCAAATTCCCTCTCCAGTTCCCCTTGGTACACCCACCTGTCTACACCTGTTGCGGATGCTGCTCACCAAAGCGGCTGCTACTTGATGCTGCTGCCTCCTAACCCGCTGCGCCTGCGCGGTGTGTGTCCCAGACAGCCAGGGGCATTTCACTCCCCACGCTGTGCCTGGGGCCTTGTGGCCCCGGGCCCCGCCCCCTGGGCCCGCCCCATCCCGAGGGAGAGGGCGTGGCGTGAGAGAGGCACCGCCCCAAGGCCTGCTGGGACTTGTAGTCTGCAGCCCTAGAGCAGCCTATCCAAGGTAACGGTCTTCTGCTGACCCCAGCACCAGTGAGAGGCTACACCTGAGACTGTATTTTTCTCTGAAGACATCATTTGTTCACTCATTTGTTATGCAATACCTTTTCTTAAGAGTATATTAACATTTTTTGGGGGACCAGCAGTTAGCGTAATGGCTATGTCACTGAATTCCCATGTAATCAACCGCGGTTTGAGTCCCGGACCCGGTGGTTTAAACTCACGCTGGGCGCGTGTGTGTGCGTGCCCAAGATCCGGAGAAGAGAATGGAGAAGGGATTACGGCGTGACCATCCCCCCTGGGTGGTGACTTCTCGCTTTCTGTCTTTCTGGCGAGCGCACGCACCCTATAGCAAAAACCTCTCCAAAAAAAAAAGAGTATATTAACATTTTTTTCTAGAAAAAAGTAAGTTGTGAGGAAAAGCCAAATTCCTAGTTTTTTTTAAAAATTTTACCTTTATTTTATTTATTTATTTTAATTTGACCAGAGAGGATCAGAGAAACAGAGAGAAAACGAGAAGGCGAAAAGGCAAGCTGCCAGGTCCAGGACTTGAACCACAATCAGCCATGTAGGAGTCCAGCGCCCTTAACTACCATGCCGCCTGCCAGCCTCCACCAAACTCCTAGTTTTGCATGTTTTCTCCATGATCAGTTTGTGCTAGTCACTGCACTGGCCTCTAGGACAGCAACTAACACAACCCACCCCCTTCACCCCCAGCTTCCAGCCTGGTAGAGGAGACTAAATACAAACACATCAGAGCACAGGGCGAGTTAACCATGGGTAACTCTGACTTTGCCCAAGAGGTTCAGGAAGGCTTGCTAGAGGTGTTTGAAAGAAGTTTTGGAAGAGGAGTTTTGTAGGGTAAACCTTAGAGCCCCATGGGGCTCTCATGGGAAGTTCAAGAGTGGCTTGTGTTGAGCCAGATTGGTGGCACAGCAGAAGCGCAACTGGGGTTTGAACCTGGATCCCATGGGCTGGAAGACTGGAGGAGGGAGATCGTGGCTTGGCCAGGCTATGAAGGGTGCTTCCCTCTCCCTTTCTTTCGTGTGCATGCATGCACTCTCCCAGAAATATGTAAAAGAGAGTGCAGCAACTCAGTGTGTTTGGAAAGTAGAGTGCAGGGATGGGAAGGGCATGAGGAGCGCCAGGTTAGATAAAGCTGGAGGGGTAGCAATGTTGTAACCAGAAAGCCTCAGACAGCAAGCTTAGAGCAAGAACGTTAAGACATAGTGATTGGAACTGGGGGGATCGGGTTTCAAGATGAACTAAGGCATGCGGGTGTGCGATTAGTAAATTAGAAATGCTCCTCTAGGGCACAGTTGAAAAAGGATTGGAGGGACCAGAACTGGAAAAGGAAGACCGAGTCTGCATCTATCAATCACCTCACCCCTCCAGGATAATTTCATTGAGTAGCTTAGCCCCACACATCCCCCACTTAAGAGGAGACACAAGGTGCCATTCAGAGAAGGGGAGCAGGGCCTGAAAGGCTCCGGTTCCATCCCCTGTATGAGAAGGGTACCCACCCTGCCCGGGGCCTTCCCTCCTGGCCCAGCGAGTCTTCCTTACCGGGATTGCCGGGCTCATGGTTCCTGGACAGCCAAGACAGCATTTCAGAGAGGACTCACACACGGAGGCACTTTCCTGAGCGCCTTAGAGATAAGGGGATCAGGAAGATGCTACCAACTGGGAGCCCGAAGGGGGAGGCAAAGAGGTGACACGCGGATCCTAAGGGGAGTCGGCAAGTCGTCCTCCCTCCAGTCGATCCCCACTTCCCCAACTGATCACGGAGCTGAACCTTAGTTCCCTGGACAACAAGTGATCCATGACTCGGAGGTGGATCTTCTCTTGGCGTCGCCAAGATTCCCGGGGGTGGGGCGTGGGGATGGGGGTTGCCAGGGCGGGGCTAGCCCTCCTCCCTGGGTGGGAGGAGGGGCCAGCTCTTCATTCTGCGGCCTGGCTGGACAGCTCCTGTCACTCTAGTCCTGGCTGCGCGGCCTGACTCCGTAAGCCTCCCTGGCTCACTGGGGTCCCTGTAATCCCGACCTCGAGCCACCCCAACGCTTTAGCCCTTCGTGCGATGCCTGCCTTGCGGGGGATTCGCCATGGCCGATCCTATTAGCCACTGCGCTCATCCCCTCTTAGCAAGCCCACGAACCAGCTCTCCCAGACCCTCTGTCTTTCATGTCTGTGACTAATACGCTCTGTCTGGTCCCTGGAACGTCCCATGCCTAGCTTCACCTGGCTGAATTCTCTACCACCATAGCAGGTAGAGGGAAGGAGAGAAGGAATTAAAACAGGGAGGAAAGCAGGGAGGAAGGAAAGGAGGAAAGAGAGAAAGGAGGGGAGAGAAATGAGAAGAGCTGGCCTCTCCCAGGCGATTCCTGCTCCCCTTCCTAGGGGCAGCTGGGCCTCCCTTACAGAGGGGTTGGGGTGGGGAACCGTACCAACATCGCCTAGGCCACATTCTCAGCCAGATGGAAGGGAAGTTCCCCAGCAGCAGTGGAGAACTTAGGGAAAAGACCTCCCGATCCTCTCAAAGGAGGGAGGATGCTATGACAAGAAATGGGGAAGGATGCCGGCAAACTAAAACCGCAGACTCATGGAGAAGCTAAAACAGCCAGACTTGACATGAGGCTACAGTGCTGGCTAATGACACTCGGAGAAGCTCATACGAGAGGTGCACTCTCCCCGGGACGAGAACCCCCACATACGTCACAGCGTTCTGCACATAATCCTGGCAGTAACAGACTTCTAGAGCCATGCTGATGGCTGCTGAGCTTGCGTTTAATCTCCAGAGCTGTAACTACGTGGGAAGAGTGTGCATGGACAAGTGAGAGGGCCTGGAGCACAGCAGGAGTCCCGCCCAGCCCAGCAGTCTTGGCTGGGAGACTGTTTAATCACCTAAAACTTCTAGAGGCCAACAAGCAAACAGGTAACTTTCATGTTTCTCTGTAACTCATACATAGAACACTGGCAAAGAGAAACATATTTTACTATTTCAGATGCCTCTAGTGGTTGAATAGCTCGCAGATACTGCTGTACGTGGTTTGCAGAACAGTGAACTGGCTGATCGAATTCAAATTTACTACTTACATTTTCTAGTGAGCATAACATGAGAACAATTTATATGACCTCGATTTACCGAAAAGAAAAGCATTAACATGTATATCAAGTTGCAGTTTGACCACAGGTAAAACAACTTATAGAAAAGGATTTGGGGGTAGGGAGGGTTGCCATAGGGTGAGAGTGCTTGCCTGAGAGAAACAGAGAGGGAAAGTGAAAAATAACACCTTGGTGGGCATGGCCATGCCACAAAAAGGACTTTTTCATAGTAATTTTAGGGCCAACCAGATAGCATGATGGTTAAGGTGGCTGGATCCCACATGTTTGACTGTGTGGTTTGAGTATCAGACCTAGTAGCTTGAAAATCATGCTGGTCATGTATGTGTGTGTGTGCCCAAAATCCCAAGAGGAGAATAGAGGGGGGATTATGGCATGGTCCACCTTCTGGTGGGGGCGGGGATTGACTTATCATGTTCTCTCTCTCTCTCTTTCTCTCTGGCAAGCACATACACCCTATAGCAAAAACCTAAAAAACAAAAACAGCGAGAGTTCTAAGTAAAGGAGTGTGGAAATGCAGCTATACTGGAGCAAAGTATCTTAAAAAAAAAAAAAAAAAAAGGGGGGGGGTTT